ACCAGTCGGATCGCCCGGCTAACGCCGAGTTCTCCTCCTTCTTGGAAGCCCGGCTTCGCCGGGCTCATGCAACTGCGCTTTAGGTCGTGACTAATCGCTGTCTTCTAATCAAATGAATGTAGAAACGCGCCATATGATCGCAGGGCACTTTCATAATGAAAAGTTCAAAATCTGGTCATGGATAATCGATTACTCTCCTCCCCATCTCATGACAGCCATGGATGCTCGTCTCCGCAGTCGCTGCGTGCTCGCTGTTCAGAGCGGAGCGTCCGGTCGCGTCAATATGGTACCCTTCCACCTCACCTATCCCCAAACTAACCTCAGCTGACCTCAGCCACCCTACAGGTCACGCTCAGCTGCTACGCGAATAGCCCGTGCAATGGTTCTGAGTGCACTAAATGGTTGTGTTATGTTGTGGAGGGTGTTATGACTATCAAAACGCTACCACAATTTGATAATGCAACATTAATCGGTTCAGATCCGATTGCGGTCGATCCATTTTCTTCCCATCTTATCGCAACCGTAGACGCCTTACCGCCGCAGGCGCTATGTGCTCCTAATCGCGGAATCGCCGTTCTCATCTGGTATCTCCCTCACCACATCATATCCCAGTGACCTATTTAATGCGCCACTTAACCACCGCCTTGCTCGTGCTCACGTCCAGCTCCCAAGCGAGCAGCTCCTGCAATAGCACAGAGTCTATCACAGTGGTTGGCTTAGATAGGGGAGCTATTCACAATCCAAACAGCTTCCTAGTTCGTTGCTGTAACATGGATTAGCTTGCAGTTTTGCTAGGGTTCTTTCCTTCTGTCTTGCCGCCTGCTCCTATCCAAGCGTACGCTACGCATCCCCTTACTGTACCCAGTTTGCCCGATTCAATCCATATGCCTCCCCCTGCATGGGCTCAGATCCGACTGAGTACGCGCAAGGGAGTGAGGATGGGAGAAGGGGGTCACTCCTAGCTTCCACCTTCCTCACCTCACCCCCTTCCGTACTCGCCAGCTCCACCCTCCGCCCATTCCCACTCTCCCCCCGCCCCCTTCCACCTTGCCCCTTGCACGCGCTTACGTCCAACTGCCACGCGAGCAACCCGTGCAATGGCTCGGAGTGTAGTGGTTTTCTTATATAGTGGAGTGTTATCACAACCAAAACAACTTCTTAGTTCGTTACGGTAACATAGATTGGCTTACAGTTTTGTTACGCGGCTTGTTTCCGTCATCCAATTGCGTGCGTTCCTACTAAAGACGCGCGCCTATCGTCACCGCCTCACTGTAACCCCCCCCCTCCCCGCGACCCCTTCCCTCTGCCTCCCTCCAATACATGTGCTCAGCTCCGGCTGAGCACATGCAGGAGAAGGAGGCAGGGCGACCTGGCACCCCCACCCTGCCCCCGCACGAGCACACGTCCAGCTGCCACGGCAGCAGCTCGTGCAATGGCTCGGAGTGTACCGAGTGGTTGTACCTATATATGCTGTTTACCACCTACTAGATTGATTTAGCTCAACCAAGATTGTTATAAAAAGTGTTATTTCGGCTGCAACGTGTTTCGGGATTCGTCGCCCGTCTTCAGAGCCTGGAAAGTCAGAAGACATTTTCGATACTACTCATCCAACACTATTTCAACCTACAGAAAAAGTTCAAAAGGGTCGTAAACTACTGTGTTGACGTCACGAGAACAACAAGAACTAACCTTTAGGGAGTCGACCAATGAGGTCCACCTGCTACCCCGACCTACTGGTAAAGCGGCTTAAATAGGTAGACCTCCAGGTCACTTTCCTGAGGGACCTCCCGAGGGTCGATCGTGTAGATCAAACTCCTCAAAAGGTCACTCCAGGCCACCCGCACTGCAAAACCCGTCTACCCTCATACTATTGATTACTGTGCCAACCCCCCGACCCCGCCGCAACGGACCACGGGGGATCGACCCCGTAGATCAAAACCCGCACAGACTGGCGAAGGGCGCCAGCTCCGTGGTAACCGCCACACACTCTTCCCTCCTATTGATCTTAGGGTTCTTGGCCATGATCCAGAAGAAAAGAAGCAGAAAAAAAAATCATGGAAAATGCCCTATATAGAACCCTATGCTGGCCAGGTGGGCGGGGCGGCCGACTCTTCACTAGCGAACGGCGCTATCCTCTCGCCTTTTTGAGATGCAAAACTAGTACATACTGCATCCTCATAGGGAGGGCTATGATATCCAGAGAGGCGCGGAACATCAAATGAACGTGGGAACTGCCTTCAGTATCAGCGCCTTATCTACGAATAGCGGCCACCTTCAAGTAATAAGGAGCCCGTTGTGGAGAAAAGCACAGGCTCTACTTTGCTTTCTGCTACTGCACCACCAGATTGCAACTATATCACTTGTGGATAAACCGTTCGGAAAAGTCCAAATGTCGGTGCCAAATATACTTCATAAACACTAATGTTCTTCAGGCTCAAGTCGCATATCTGGTTGGACCTACTACGATAAATGGCTAGGAGTTGGCAGCCCTTCATTCTGTCTTTCCAATTTGGTTTCTGTGATGAGAAGCACACGAAGCGATGAAGGAGACGATCCATATCCGCAAATCGATGGCGCAAAAGGGTATTTTCCAGCATGCTTTTTTGAGGTTAATATTGACGCTAGAGAATTATGTTGATATTTTCAGGCTAGTGAAAAATTTCGGTCGCCTCCTGAACAATACTTGTCTATGTTCTCGATATAATGATCCGTCGACAACCAAGGTGGCTATATGGATGCCCATTGCAAAGTAAGTCTTTCTTATGAATAGTGAAGAAGGTTAAAGGCAACGATACGCACCCCTGTCGATCCTGGTCCTCTCCCTTTTTGGATTCAATGGGGCCGTAGCTGCATTGGCGTACCACTGTTCGGGTAAAAAGTGCACAGGAACAAGATTGCAGGGTAATAGTACCCCGGTGCGCTTCCATAGTCAGCCCACGCTCAGGGTATAGCATAGTTGTGTGAAACACATAGGGGGATCATACTTTTTGACTGGGGAGGGGGTCGTATTTGGTCGTTGTTAGGGAAGGGGAGGGGTCGTATGTGGCTTTCGTGAGAAATTTACCGTGTTGGGGAAAAATTGTTCCCGGTTGTCGACTTTTCCTCGTTATTTTCCTGTTTCATGTGTACCATGTGCTCGACAGCAAAATTTCTGGTGAAAAAGTGGAAAATGTCTGAAATTGGAAGGTAGCCACTAGCGCAAATGGGCTATTTGTGTGTGGACGCGGCCTCCCAGTTCCTGGACTTGTTCATCTACTGGTGGATGCTCCGTCTCGTGGAGCGGTAACATGGTATGAGCGCAGGTGCTACGTTTTGAGGATAGCGCTTGCGGGGTGTAGAGACGGAACTAGGGTGCCACCTCCCCACAGCCCGTTTCCGCGCATATTTGAGCTGTACTACTGTAACTGCACCCATACTCCGCACACACAGCAGGGACCAGGATCCGCAGAAAGGAGTGTACAGTTTGCCTTTGAAAGGTGCGACATTGTTCAAACTCATCAGTAATCAGCGCGCGGTGCAACTTACATATTCAGGGTCAGTCGCAATGCATTCACTAATAGCGCGTTCATACTTTGCGATCGCGCTATCGGATTGCTTGATTGGACCGCGCGACTGGATCAATTGATTGCAACCAGGAACAGTCCACCGTCGCAACGGCACAACTTAAACTGACACTGCATGAACGCCGCCCAATTTGAATTCTGCCTTTGCGGCGGCGCACCGTTTGGCGGTGGATCGCCCCCGATCGCCATCGCTCGATTGGTTTGCTCGACTGGACGCGCGATCGCGAAGTACGCGCTCTGAGGCAGCGTTCAGACTCCGCGACGGCAGCGCTACGGTCGCCTAATCGACGCGATCGATGTTGTCGAAAGCGCGCGCAGCGATCGTGCCGAAGGCGCAACCGAAGTCGCGAAGTCTGAGCGCTGCCCAAGATGTGCTGCCCTTCGCATTCCCGAAGCTAGCTCACTGTTCCATGCTTACACATGTCTAAAACAAAATGCGAAACGAGAAATGATGGGTGATTCACATGGGAACTTGTTTCAGCTACACTTCCGAAAGCTATACTGATCTTTTGACGACACCCTATGTCCACTATGTGGTTCCATTTTATCAACCTTACGTGAGTTCTCTCAATATCATATCAATCTTCCTCATTTCTGTCTCGCATTTTCTTAATGCTTTACTATATTGGCCATATGGCATGAGAAGTCAGAACTGATCGGAATGGACTACATTTGTGAAAGCGCATTTCATGACTGAGATAAATGCAATGGCGCAGCTCGCAAGGATCATACTGCTACAGACGAGACGGGCAAGAGAGTCGTAATTTGCCGCTTCGCCCCGTGCGACGATGGGCGCGGCGTTTTCTTAAGTTGTGTTGGCCTGTCGATTAGAGCACTGGATCTCACGTGGGCTACAAAACTGTAGACATCTACGACTCGGAACCATCGTCATCGTAATTTGCCGCTCGCGACGCCCTCCAGCGCGGCAAATTGCCTACAGACTCTCTCCTGACCGTGATTGCCGCCTCCAACCACCAATGTAGCCGTCCTTTGCACCGAGAAGCTCGGTGCTCATCATCTTGACTGGCGTGTTTCTTGAAGAATTCTCATCATTCCCATTAAGTAACGTTTCCTCATAATAGCAAAATAACCATGAAGTTCGCCATTATGGGTTGAGTGGAGTGATTAGGAAATCAGCTC